TTTGGTGGCCCAGCACTGACCTTAAAGCTGAAGACGAATTTTCCGCCCTTGTAAAAACCCTGGGGAGAGAAAAACGTCAGCGAGGGGACACAGAGAGTGACACAGGGGACACACACACAGTGACACAGGGGACACAGAGAGTGACAGAGGGGACACAGAGTGACACAGAGAGTGACAGAGTGACACAGAGTGACACAGAGTGACAGAGGGGACACAGAGAGTGACAGAGAGTGACAGAGGGGACACAGAGAGTGACACAGAGTGACACAGAGTGACACAGGGGACACAGGGGACACAGAGAGTGACACACACACAGTGACACAGAGAGTGACAGAGGGGACACAGAGTGACACACACACAGTAACACAGGGGACACAGAGTGACACAGAGTGACACAGGTGACAGTGACACACACAGTGACACGGGTGACAATGACACACACACAGTGACACGAGTGACACACACAGGTGACAATGACACAGGTGACACAGATGACACACAAGTGACAATGACACAGATGTCACACAGGTGACACACACACAGGTAACAACGACACACAGTGACACAGGTGACACACACAGGTGACAGTGTCACAGACGTCACACAGATCACACAGGTGACACACACAGGTAACAATGACACACAGTGACAATGACACAGGTGTCACTCAGGTGCCACATGGGTGACACACAGGTGACACACACAGGTGACAGTGTCACAGATGTCACACAGATGATGTCACACAGATGATGTCACACAGATGATGTCACACAGGTGACACAAATGTGACACACACAGGTGATCGTGACACACATGTGACAATGACACAGATGATGTCACTCAGGTGCCACAGGTGACAATGACACACAGGTGACACAGATGATGTCACTCAGGTGACAATGACACACAGGTGACACAGATGACACAGATGATGTCACTCAGGTGCCAATGACACACAGATGGCAGAGGTGACGTCAGTGAGGTGACTCCGATGACGTCACTCAGGTGTGCCAGGTGTGTCCCCACCTCGTCAGGACAGATGAGCAGCCGGAAGTGCAGCAGGTCGTCCTGGTCCGAGAAGTCGATCTCGCACGTCTTGGGCAGGTTCAGCTCGTTGATGTCTGGGGACAAACGGGGACAGCTGGGGACAAATGGGGACACACCTGGGGACACAGCTGCGACACCTGGGGGGACACCTGGGACAGCTGGGGACACACCTGGGACAGCTGGGATACCTGGGGGGACACCTGGGTACAACTAGGGACACATCTGGGGACACAGCTGGGACAGCTGGGGGTACCTGGGGACAGTTTGGGACACCTGAGGGTACCTGGGGACAGTTGGGGACACCTGGGAGATGGGTGTGACAGAGCTGCACAGGTGACAAACACGGACACAGAGGTGACACAGGTGACACACAGGTGACACAGGGACACACAGGTGACACAGAGGTGGCATAAGGAATAAAGGTGACACACATGGGGACACACAGGACCTGACCCCTACTGGGACCATACTGGGACCAGTATGTGATCTCGACTGGGACCAGAACCTGCCTCCCACTGGGGCCTAACTGGGACCAGTATATGATCCCTACTGGGACCAGTACATACCCCTCACTGGGGCCTAACTGGGACCAGTATGTGATTCCTACTGGAACCAGTACCTGCCCCTCACCAAGCCCTTACCGGGACCAGTATCAGAGCCCGATCAGTCCCAGTACCAGTCCCCCAACGAGGCCTTACTGGGACCAGCACCTGACCTCAACTGGGACGTAACTGGGACTCTCACCAAAGCCTTAC